GCAGTGATGAGAAAACATAACAGAACCCCAGGAAGTTCAGGTTTCAGCAAAACATCCCTTAGAAAATGATGCTCAGTTTGAATTCTCAATTAAGAGTTGACAAAAGGGATGGGAGGTAGGGACATTATCTAAGAGAGAAGAAAGAGTATGCCAAGTTCTGTGGCAGGAGGAAACTTAGGAGAAGAAGCAATGGTACAGTCACTAAGAAAGCAATGTAGAAGCTCCTCAACAAATTGAAAATAGAATTTCCGTATGATTCAGCAGTCCCAATTTCAGATTATATATATATGTAATCAATGTATCATTATATATATAAAATCATTGAAATCAGGATCTAGAATAGATATCTAGATATCTCACTCCCATGTTCACTGCAGTACTAGTCACCATAGCCAACACATAAAAACAACCTAAATGTCCATTATTGGATGGATGGATAAAGAAAACGTGATGGGTACATAGAGTTAAACTTCACTTGGGCTTAAAACAGAAGGAAATCCTGCCATGCGTGAAACCACGGGTGAACCTGGGGGATATTATGGTGGGTGATATAGGCCAGTTCTAGAGGGACAACTGGTGCATTATTCTACTTCTGTGACGTATCTGAAATAGTCGGTCATAGAAACAGAGCCAGATGGTGGTTGCCAGGGACTGGGCAGAGGGTTGAATAAGAGTTGTTTAATGGAAAGAAAGTGTCAAAAGAAAGTGTCAGTTTGTAAGACAAGTAGCTCTAGAACCTGGTGTGCAACACTCTGTATCTAGTTAACAGTACTGTGCTGTGTGCTTCAAAACTTAGCAGCAGAGATCTCATGCTAAGTGTTCTTCATACAATTAAAAAAATAAACAAAACAAGGAAATTGTGGTATCAATGAAAGGAAGTGAGATAATGTACACATTTTCAACTTAGTCTAACTAAGACTGGAAAAATGTTTACTATATTTATTAATAATGTGAGACTCCAGCTAGAAAGGAATGGTTTCAGGGGTGTAGGGAAAAGCTGGATGGAAAGAAAAAACATGTACAAGAAATTGAAACAACTGCATGATTTCTTCAAGAATTTGGACTACTAGAGGGGGTGGGTACAGCTCAGTGGTAGAGCACATGCTTAGCATGCACGAAGTCCCAGGTTTGATCCCCATTACTTCCATTAAAAAAACTAAATAAATGAATAACCCTAATTACCTCCCCTGCCCCACTTAAAAAAAAAAGAATTTTGGCTACTGCTCTGAGTAGTTGTTTTAAACACACACACACACACATTCTGTAATTGGTTAGAAAATGGTTTTCTAGTTTGAAACTTGTGGAAAAAACTGGATTTCACCATTAGTAATAATGCATTTCCCTTATTGTGTAGATTCACTAAGAGAGACTCTGACACTGTGGTAGAAGTAGCTCTGGTTTTCAAGCAAGTTCTTGGGGTATCTTCATTTTATTTATTATTCTGATTTGTCTTACTTTTTAAGCAAATACCTTTTGAATACTAACTACTTATCATAGAATTTGCTGGGATATTTGCATACATTAATTCATCTAATATTCACAAAAACATAAAAGATGCTTCATTTTTACTTGATTTTTACAGTTGAGGAAATTGAGACTTGAAAAAAAATATGGATATTGCCCACATTTTCATAAGTTCAGTTATCCAAAACTTAATGCTGGTCTTATCCTTTCACATAATTTGATTTTCTTATTCAAATGAACCAAAGTTTACTGTTCTTTTTTTTTTTTAAGCCTGTAGTATAGCCTTCTTTAACTTTCCTGGAGATTGATTGCTATACTTAAAGTATAGATCCTTCAAGGATAGTGATAACATTTTAATCCCCAATATAATTTGTCCAACTCATCTTACTTTGAGAAAAACAGGGAAGGGAATATTACCACTTTCAGGTATCTCTAGAGGTTCAAGTTTAGGCTCAGAGGGATCTAGGAACTAATAAATCACCCAAACAACTTCAGAATGAGCTCTCTGGGAGCCAGGATCTGGCTAAGCAATGAGTCATATGGAGTTTGTACATGGAGTGAATTGCCAACCCTCCACCAAGCTGGCTTCCCATTAGAGACATCTCTCCTTGGTGAGCTGTGGTATTTAATTGAACCAGTCTGCTTTTAGAGATAATGCCTCTAACATCCCAATTGCATTTCCTATTTTC